ATCCTTCTATCTTTATGCTTTTCCACCATTTTTTCTTCTGCTTCTTCGCGCTTACGTTAAAATCGAATTATCCTGTTATGCAAACGGTGAATTTATCGCTTCTTGGTTTGTTCAATTCGTCCTTGTTTGATCAACAACTGGATGTATTTACTAAGAGATATGCTCTCTTAGGTTTCGTTGTCTGTGAAACGTAGAAATACTTGGAGAAAATATGAATAATAATTTAAGTGTGCACGATACTCAGTGAAATAAACAACGGTATGCATACAGCTTTGGTAAAACATATTAGGCAGCCCATAAAAATGAATTATTAAAAATATTTTTGTATTTAGAGGAAATGAAACTATTCAAATGTGCAGACAATCATTTTTTAATAATTTTGTCAATATTTTGTTTAAACTGCAAAATAGTGAATGAGCATGTCATTAGGGGTCAAAAGTATTAAACACCCCATAAAAAGTATTTTTATATTCAGAGGAAATAAAATATTGAAATGTGCAAACAATCATTTTTTATTAACTTTGTTTAAACTGCGCATGTGATGGAAATGTTTTTGGGGCCGAAACACACGAATTAGTTATTTTGCAAAATTTTTCAATTTTAGAAAGGTCTAATTGAACAATCAGGTGTCTTGTTCATAGATACGACTGTTCCGACCTACGGTTTCCTCAGGTGTGAGATTGAACTTTCGGTTAACCTGTGCTGAAATTCCCAGTGTTCCGTACAGAGGTTCTCGCGCAAGTTGTAAACTCATAAAGCCACGGGACTTGAAAGGCATGACCAAATGTTGGTAAAGTTTCTTAATCATCTGACTCATAGCCCAGATTAGACCACATGAGAATAACGGTTTAAAGGACAAATAACTATATCCGCTGGCTTTTATGAATTTACATGTGCGCCGCAACGGTATACCTCTAAATTATCTAACCCCCTTTTCAGGTCACCCGGTATATTGTTTCCGTTCACTGTTCGTAGCGGTAATCAGCTTTCACATCCGATGAAAATTTTCACCGGAAAATGTTCAATATTTTTCTCACACTTTTACGGTAAAATTGTGTTTATCTGAAACTACAAACGTAGATGATTCCCTATTTAAAATTCTGACGAATCTAAAATCGCACTTCTGATTTTCACTTTCAGATCAATATTGTACCAATGAAAATTTCTTGTGTCATTTTTCTTATCGAACACAGACATTTCGTGAATTAAATTTTACCCCTCTTTCATTATTGTGTATCTGAAAATTTTAATTTTTTCTTTTGCTAAAAAATAAAATTGTGTTTATCTAAAACTAGAAAGATAGATGATTCCCTATTTAAAATTCTGACGAATCTAAAATCGCACTTCTGATTTTCACTTTCAGATCAATATTGTACCAATGAAAATTTCTTGTGTCATTTTTCTTATCGAACACAGACATTTCGTGAATTAAATTTTACCCCCCTTTTATTATTGTGTATTTGAAAATCCTAATTTTATATTTTCTTTAAAAAGCAATTGCATGTATTAAAAATGATATATATGTTTTTGAAAAATTTTTAACGATTGCATTTTTAAATCACTCTTGTGCACCACGTGTCACTGTACGAATGTAAAAATTCGTAAAGGCTTGCACACATTTTTTTCCTACAATTAGACTATCTTCCGTTTAATCAGAATTCGTCTTGATCTAGCAAGACGCTCGCCTCGACTCGTATACTGCATCGAAAACGGAATAGACCGGACGCCGAAACTGCATTTTACGGCTGACAGGATCGTAAAACGTAATGCAGAACGCTTT